GGCTCGGCTCGCCTGGACCGGGGGGAGAGTGCACCGGGCTCGGCTCGCCTGGACCGGGGGGGAGAGTGCACCGGGCTCGGCTCGCCTGGACCGGGGGGAGAGTGCACCGGGCTCGGCTCGCCTGGACCGGGGGGAGAGTGCACCGGGCTCGGCTCGCCTGGACCGGGGGGAGAGTGCACCTCGGCTCGGCTCGCCTGGACCGGGGGGAGAGTGCACCGGGCTCGGCTCGCCTGGACCGGGGGGAGACCGGGCTCGGCTCGCCTGGACCGGGGGGAGAGTGCACCGGGCTCGGCTCGCCTGGACCGGGGGGAGAGTGCACCGGGCTCGGCTCCTGGCCTGGACCGGGGGGAGAGGGGAGAGTGCACCGGGCTCGGCTCGCCTGGACCGGGGGGAGAGTGCACCGGGCTCGGCTCGCCTGGACCGGGGGGAGAGTGCACCGGGCTCGGCTCGCCTGGACCGGGGGGAGAGTGCACCGGGCTCGGCTCGCCTGGACCGGGGGGAGAGTGCACCGGGGCTGCACCGGGCTCGGGCTCGCCTGGACCGGGGGGAGAGTGCACCGGGCTCGGCTCGGGCCGGGGGGAGAGTGCACCGGCTCGGCTCGCCTGGACCGGGGGGAGAGTGCACCGGGCTCGGCTCGCCTGGACCGGGGGGAGAGTGCACCGGGCTCGGCTCGCCTGGACCGGGGGGAGAGTGCACCGGGCTCGGCTCGCCTGGACCGGGGGGAGAGTGCACCGGGCTCGGCTCGCCTGGACCGGGGGGAGAGTGCACCGGGCTCGGCTCGCCTGGACCGGGGGGAGAGTGCACCGGGCTCGCCTGGACCGGGGGGAGAGTGCACCGGGCTCGCCTGGACGGGGGGGAGAGAGGGCTCGCCTGGACGGGGGGGGAGAGTGCACCGGGCTCGCCTGGACGGGGGGGAGAGTGCACCGTGCCCAGATATTCTGGGTGTAGTATAGTAGGCAACATGTTCCACTCAGACAGCAATCGTATTCTGGTCAAATTGGGGTCTTTTCTGTACTGAGATTAATTGAACCTGTTCTCATAGTAATGGGGGGGATGCACACTCATCTGCCATCATTCTTATTCTTCCTGCACTACTGGAGTTTTGACTTCACTGGCTTTGTGCTGTTTCTGGGTTAGCGACTCCTTTGGTAAAGCTAGGATGGCAATGACAAACCACACAGCATTCACCTGAATTGGAGGATTGGGGGTGTTGGTTCTATATCCAATGTCCTTGTTATATTCCGTTCTGTTGTGTTGCAACGTCTGCTCTGAAACTTGCCTTTGTGATTAGTCATGTTATTGGTAATAAAGCGTTTTATAGCTTTAATATTTCCATTGTATTCTGTTTTCCAGCATATTCCACAGTGGCATTAGACTGGGACATGGAAGTAAAGAAATTGTACTATGATGACCAGGAGGCAGAGGTAGGCTAAGGGAGTCCTCCAAAATCACGACACAGTTATCGGGCACACTGTGTCCCCTCATAGCACAGTTGCTGGTACTCTGTACCCCTGCCTTGGGAGGGTTGAATGGTCATCAGATCCCATGTCCTGCCTTCCAATGTTCCTTGTGTCTTCCTTACAGGCCTTCAGCAAACACGAGTCCATGCTCCAGCTGCAGAAGAAGAAGGTGACGGTGGCCCTCAGAGATTGTATCCAACTCTTCACCAAGACAGAGACACTTGGTGAACATGACCCCTGGTAAGTCTGCCGTGTGTGGGTGCATAAATCGATCCTATGCTTGTTCTACTCCTCATAGAAGGTGAAAACCCACATCCTCTGTCCTGCAGGTATTGTCCACAGTGCCGGAAACATCAGAGGGCCACCAAGAAATTTGACTTGTGGGCTTTGCCAAAAATCCTTGTGGTGCACTTAAAGCGTTTCTCCTACAACCGTTACTGGAGGGACAAGCTGGACGCTGTGGTGGAGTTCCCTATCAGGTAATAGTATCCTGGAAGCCATTCAAACATTTAATACACAATAAGGGCATAATATGACTTCCCCACCCCCCCCCGCCTCAATCAATAAATCCTTCAGATTGGTTTCTGTGTGACTGTGTAACCAGGATACCGGGCATTGTTCAGTCTTTACTAAAAGATCTACCACCTGCCGGCTGGCATTGTGCAGATCTCCCAGGATCTGGTTAATTATTTGTTGGTGAGTCAGTCTTTGTCTCTGGCACACCTCATAGAGGATCAAATGTCCATGCTTTATACAGGGGTGAGGCATATCCTGGGCTGTGTCTTACCACCATCTATCCATACACATCCTTCTATCCAACCTCCATCCATAAACATCCTTCTGTCCATCCATATTACCACCATCCTTTCATCCATACTTCTAATCTCCATACACATCCTTAAACCTATCAATATTACCACCATCTGTTCCTCCATACACATCCTTCCTTCCATCCATGCCTCCAAACATTCTTTCAGCCATCCATTGCCTAGTATCCATCCTTGTAATCACTATTAGTCCCCCATATACATCCTTCCATTCATATTACCACCATGCATGCCTCTTTACACATCATTTCATCCATCTCCTAGTATCCATCTTTCTAATCTCCATCCATCCCTACATACCCAACCCATAGTATTCATCCTTCTAATCTCCATCCAACCCCACATACCCAACCCATAGTATCCATCCTAATCTCCATCCATCCCTACATACCCAACCCATAGTATCCATCCTAATCTCCATCCACCCCTACATACCCAACCAATAGTATCCATCCTTCTAATCTCCATCCAACCCCACATACCCAACCATAGTATCCATCCTAATCCATCCATCCATCCATCCCTACATACCCAACCCATAGTATCCATCCTTCTAATCTCCATCCATCCCTACATACCCAACCAATAGTATCCATCCTTCTAATCTCCATCCATCCCTACATACCCAACCCATAATATCCATCCTAATCTCCATCCATCCCTACATACCCAACCCATAGTATCCATCCTTCTAATCTCCATCCATCCCTACATACCCAACCCATAGTATCCATCCTTCTAATCTCCATCCAACCCCACATACCCAACCCATAGTATCCATCCTAATCTCCATCCATAATCCCCATAGTCCATCCCTACATACCCACCCCAACCCATAGTATCCATCGTTCTAATCTCCATCCATCCCTACATACCCAACCCAATTTCTAGTATCCATCCTTCTAATCTCCATCCCATCCCATAGTATCCATCCTTCTAATCTCCATCCATCCCTACATACCCAAAACATAGTATCCATCCTTCTAATCTCCATCAAGCCCATAGTATCCATCCTGTCCTACAGTTCATCATTCCCATCCTGCTCTGTAAGGGTTAACAACCCAATATGGAGGAAATCCTCATATCAATACAGAAAAGGTCATCTTTGACAGATTCTATGGACATTGTATTGTTCATCGGCCTGACTCAGCTGTCCCTTGTCCCGTCCCAGTTGGACCTAATCCCATGGCCTGGGATTGTTGGTGCTGAGCCGGTGCGTATAGACACAATGTTTGTCATGTGACCGCCATACGTTTTGTGTACGCTGCAGACGCTATTCTGGGTTCCGGCCGTGCTTTGTTCGGGGAGCTCTGCCACTGACAAAGGACAATGTGGCTCCATTTTTATTCTTCTTTCGCTGTTGTTGCTGCTAACAAAGTGTTTTCATTCTTTTTCCAGGAATCTGATTATGTCGGAGTTTGTCTGCGATCCAACGGCTGATCCATATATTTATGACCTGGTAGCAGTTTCCAACCACTATGGTGGCATGGGGGGAGGACATTGTAAGTGGTAAACCTTCCTATTGGCTTCCTGTTAATGCTGAATGTTTGAACAGAGCTGATCGCCACAATAGTATTCCTGGTCCAGTCTGTTCATTGATTGGATCTCAGGGCATGCTGCTCCGAAAAATGTCCCCTGATATCAGAACACAGGATCCTCTCTCTCCCCTGATAGGATACCAGGAGCCTCCTTTTATAGATCTCTGTACAGTGATTGGATCTCAGGAGTCCCTGTTCAGATCTCTGTTCTCTGACTTGATCTCTGAAGATTCCATTGCAAACCTCTGTCCCCTCAGTGGTTGCCTTGGTTACACATCTCTGTCCACTGATTGGATCCCAGGAGCCTCCATTACAGACCTCTGTCCACTAATTGGTACCCAAGCGCCTCCGTTACAATCCTTTGTACACCAATTGGATCCCAGGCGCCTCCGTTACAGACCTCTGTACACCAATTGGATCCCGGGCACCTCCGTTACAGATCTCTGTACACCAATTGGATCCCAGGCGCCTCTGTTACAATCCTCTGTACACGGATTGGATCCCGGGCGCCTCCGTTACAGATCTCTGTATACTAATTGGATCCCGGGCGCCTCCGTTACAGATCTCTGTACACCAGTTGGATCCCAGGTGCCTCTGTACACTGATTGGATCCCAGGTGCCCCATTACAGACCTCTGTACACCGATTGGATCCCAGGCGCCTCCGTTACAGACCTCTGTACACTGATTGGATCCCAGGAGCCCCAGTTACAGACCTCTGTACACTGATTGGATCCCAGGAGCCCCAGTTACAGACCTCTGTACACTGATTGGATCCCAGGAGCCCCAGTTACAGACCTCTGTACACTGATTAGATCCCAGGAGCCCCAGTTACAGACCTCTGTACACTGATTGGATCCCAGGAGCCCCAGTTACAGACCTCTGTACACTGATTGGATCCCAGGAGCCCCAGTTACAGACCTCTGTACACTGATTGGATCCCAGGAGCCCCCGTTACAGACCTCTGTACACTGATTGGATCCCAGGCGTCTCCATTACAGACCTCTGTACACTGATTGGATCCCAGGAGCCCCAGTTACAGACATCTGTACACTGACTGGATCCCAGGAGCCCCAGTTACAGACCTCTGTACACTGATTGGATCCCAGGCGCCTCCGTTACAGACCTCTGTACACTGATTGGATCCCGGGAGCCCCAGTTACAGATCTCTGTACACTGATTGGATCCCAGACGCCTCCGTTACAGAGTTTGGTAGGCAGCGACGCTTTGCACCTGTCCATTCACACTATAAACGCGGCATAGTTGCAAAACCATCCAAGCTATACCCATTTTGGCATAGAATAAAAATTTGGTGGGTGTTTTTGGATCGTCTTGAACGCCCTCGCAGTGCGTCCGAAACGCTCATTAATGCTATAGGTTTGTTTAAAGCTTTTTTAAAATTCAATGCCTGTGTGAACTTAGCCTGGGGAAGGAGCAAGATCTGTAAGGCTGAGATGAGACACGGCAGAGGGATGAGCTCATCTCTGGCGCTTTGCTCTCTCCTCCTATCAGCATGTCTTTCTTGACTCAGACACTGCATCTCTGTGAATACAAACAGATTTTTGGCTGTCCGGTGCTATTGGTCTCATGTCATCTCTGGCTTTTCGTTGCCCCTACAGATACGGCGTATGCAAAGAACCAGGATACGGGTCAGTGGTATTACTTCGATGACAGCAGTGTGTCTCCGGCTTCTGAAGATCAGATTGTGGTGAGTGTTGGTGTGTGTGGGGGAGAGCCCTCTGCCATGTTGTCCCGTGTGATCCATTCATCAGCCTCCTCTTCTGGCCATGCTATGTACTCCGCTCTTCCTGGCTGTGTTGAATCATTTATTTAGAAGCGCATGACACAAGATCAACAAACACGACTTACTAAACTGAAATCCAGTTTTACCACCCCACCCCCCCACATTTGAAACCGATTTACTCTTAATTCTCTTAAAACTTCTCCAAAATATAACCCTTTGAAGTTGTGGCAGCTCTTGAACCCGCCTTCATTTCCTTCACCTTCAGTCATCATCAGTCCCCTCGTTTCCTGATCCGTGCTGTCATGGGCTCACCTCTCGCAGCCATCAGTCATTTTTTGCTTTTCATCATGTGTGACTTTTAGAGCTGGTGTCAGTGATCGTATTATTGTTCCTAAACGTTTATATGAAGATACACATCCCCGACATCGCTTTAGGCATGCATGCTCAGAATTCAGCTGTGCAATATGTTGATCAGTAGCTTGATTATTCTTATCAGATCTACTCAGCAGATTGCACATCTAACCTCTGCCACACCCATGGTCCAGCAGGGAGGAGCGTGCATGTGTAAAAGGATGGTGCAGATGTATTTATATGACAGTTGAGGCAGGTTGCTGGCCTCTCGCATTGAACGTAGTCTTATGCAGGCCATAGACAGGTCGAAAACCGGCCATTTTTTTATTTAAAAAAAAAACGAAAAGTCAGTGGTTCGATCGGCCAACGTTACCACCAACGGTAAAAAAAACGTCCGATTTTCGTCCCGTCTACGGCCGGCATTTAATTACTTTTGTCCCTGCAGAGAGCTCCGCTATTATATTTGACATGAAAAAGTCTTGCGGTTGCAACAATGTATCCATTTCAGATACAGATGTTTTTATTCGAATACAAATAGATACAATGTTGCAACCGCAAGACTTTTCATATAAAATATAATAGCGGACTGGAATTCTTTTCTTTTTCTTCTTTTTTTTTTTTTTTTTTCTTTTTTTCTTTTTTTTTTTTTTTTTTTTTTTCTTTTTCTTTTTCTTTTTTTTTTTTTTTTTTTTTTTTTTTTCTTTTTTTCTTTTTTTTTTTTTTTTTTTTCTTTTTTTTTTTCTTTTCTTTTTCTTTTTCTTTTTCTTTTTTCTTCTTTTTCTTTTTCTTTTTTCTTTCTTCTTTTTTTTTTTTTTTTTATTATTTTTTTTTCTTTTTTTTTCTTTTTTTTTTTTCTTTTTTTCTTTTTTTTTTTCTTTCTTTTTTTTTTTTTTTTTTTTTTTTTTTTTTTTTATTCTTTTTTGCTTTTTTTCTTTTTTTTTTTTTTTTTTTTTTTTTTTTTTTTTTTTTTTTTTTTTTTTTTTTTTTTTTTTTTTCTTTCTTTTTCTTTTTTTTTTTTTCTTTTTCTTTCTTTTTTCTTTTTTTTTTATTCTTTTCTTTTTCTTGCAGGTCACAGCTCATGCACAGATTTTTAATCGGTAAAAAACAATCGGCCAATTTGCACATCATTGCCGGGAAAATCGGCCGCAAATTTTTCCAACTTGACCGATAAAAAAAAATGTGCCAAAACCCCCGAAAAACGGCCGACCAATTAACCCACTAACGGTGCGAAAATCGGACGATTTTTCTTTTTTTTTTCGGACGATTTTCGACCTGTCTATGGCCTGCATTAGTACAGAGCAAAGATCAGCATGCTCATTCCTTAGATCTTGTAAATCTGAATAATCAAGCAACTGATTAGCAGATTGCACAGCTATGTGACCATTACACATCAGCTTTAACCTTTTTTTCATCTTTTTTTTCCTTCCAGACAAAAGCGGCTTACGTACTGTTCTACCAGCGGCAGGATAATGTCAGCGTGAAATCGCCGTCGCCTGCAGCGTCCCTGGGTTCTCCCCCAGCCGATGAAGCTTTAGGGGATGAGGAGACACAGCAAGACATTGACTGTATGGACACCAACTAGAGGACTTTCTGTAGCGCCCCCCCCTCCGTTGTCTGGAGTACGGCAGTGCGTCTGCCCTGAGATGTACATACTACCCTGATTACCGTTCCTGGATCGTCCAACCGGCATTGGGGGAGGGGCTGCTGCCGACACACAGTACAGAACGAGCGTCCACAACGGGAGGCCCCCCCCCTCCGGGGCGGCGGCGGTGGCGGCAGCTCATCCGGGGGGGGACTCTAGAGCAGGAGATGGTCATGTATCTGGTTTGGTGCCTGTGTTTATGCTCAGCTGAGGAGTATTTCTTTAATCCTGGCTTTAATTCTTTATTTTCTCCCTCCATGTTTGATTTGAACAAAATGAATTGAACACCAGCAGACTATGAAAAGTTATATTTTTAATACAAAGTACTGTAGCGCTCGCTAGGAACCATGATCTCGGCTCTCCTTCGGACGGCCGCCAGGGAACGATCACTTTCTGACGCTGCCGAGTTGAAGTGTGTATGGCCGACGCCGTGAGATTGCAAAGACCATTAAATAGCAAATTTAAAAAAAAAAAAAAAAAAAAATGCATCCGCTTAAGAAGCCGGCTTTCTTTTGTTCCCGTTTTTTGGGGGTGGGGCCTATTTATTGATCAGGACAGTATTTAAAGGCACACACAGTGACTAGACGCAAGGATTGGGTGTGATATCTACAGGCGGAATGGGGGAGCTGATGGTTCATTAAACGTGATCAAAGCCTCCTGGATCGAGTGTTTTCCTTGTCTTCCTGTGTCATCTCCAACTGAACCGCATTCGGGAGCCTTCCTCAGGACACAATTTCCTACTGCAGTGCCACAAGGGCTCCGGATGCCAGGAGAAACCTTTAAAGGGGTTATAAACTCCCCAAAGATGAAACAAATCCTCCTACATAGGTTGTACAGGTTTTCTTCTGTCTTCTCTTTACAGCCATTTAAAGTCTAGAATTTATAACGCTTGTCTGAACTTTCAGAAAGCAGGGCATGGGGAGATGAAGTGAGAGCTGATTGGAGGTCTTCCCCTTCCCCCCTTTTCCCCTTCACACAGGAACAGAGCTGGGGCTGCCAATCACAGGCCGTGTGCTGGAGCTCCCTCTCCTATCATCTTCTTACTCTTGGTGTCAGGAAAACCTGTCCGATCAATTGACTCATGCAGATAAGCAGGGGGGGGGGAGATGAAGTGAGAGCTGATTGGTGCTTTTTCATTTTCCACTTTCCCCTTCCCCCCCTTCTTTCTCCCCTTTCCCTTCTTTCTCCCTCCCCTCCCTGCTCCCTTTTTTTCCCCTCCCTGCTCCCTTTTTTTTCCCTCCCTGCTCCCTTTTTTTCCCCCTCCCTGCTCCCTTTTTTTCCCCTCCCTGCTCCCTTTTTTTCCCCTCCCTGCTCCCTTTTTTTCCCCTCCCTGCGCCCTTTTTTTCCCCTCCCTGCGCCCTTTTTTTCCCCTCCCTGCGCCCTTTTTTTTTTTTTTTTTTTTTCCCCTTTTTCTTTTTTCCTCTCCTTTTTCTTTTTCTCGCCCCTTTTTCTTCCCTCCCCCTTCTTTTTTCTTTCTCCCTCCCCCTTCTTTTACCCTTTCTCCCTCCCCCTTTTTTTTTTGCTTCCTCCCCCTTTTTTTTTTTTTCTCCCTCCCCCCTTTTTTTTTTTTCTCCCTCCCCCCTTTTTTTTTTTTTCTTCCCCCTCCCCCCTTTTTTTTTTTTTTCTCCCTCCCCCTTTTTTTTTTTTTTTCCCTCCCCCTTTTTTTTTTTTTTTCTCCCCTCCCCCTTTTTTTTTTTTTCTCCCCTCCCCCTTTTTTTTTTTTTCTCCCTCCCTCTTTTTTTTTTTCTCCCCTTCACACAGTACACGGAAACCGATCTGAGGCTGCCAATCACAGGCTGTGTGCTGGAGCTCCCTCTCCTATCACCTTCTCACTCTTGGTGTCAGGAAAACCTGTCAGATCAATGGACTCATGCAGATTACGGAGGAATGAGGCAGCAGACAGAATTGACTCTTACTTCCCCGGTCACACCGATCCTGAATTTGAAATCGTGTAACTTCACAGTAAGTCCCACGATTTCAAAGTCGGATGACCTGCTGATTTGAGGTGCGATTTACAGGACATGACCAAGTCAGAAACACGCTGATAGGACCACTGTAATTGCAGGCAATAGGGTGTGAGTTGCAAGTCATGGCATGCCAAGTCGCTCTCAGTGTGACCGGGGACTTAGTTGATTTACTAAAACTGGAGAGTACAAAATCTGGTGCAGCTCTGCATGGCAGCCAATCAGCTTCTAACTTCAGCTTGTTCAGTTAAGCTTTGCAAAAAAAAAAAAAAGCTGGAAGCTGATTGGTTCTATGCAGAGCTGCACCAGTTTTGAATTCTCCACGTTTAGTAAATCAACCCCTTTAGTGCTCTGGACTGAGACAAGTATACATGATAGAGGGATGTGCTTGGTTCATATGTCATGTCTGAGGTTTACAACCACTTTTAACTCTTCCTACCCAGAGGATCTTCAAGCCGGAGGTCTTTCATGATCACTGTGATTGGCTGTCACAATGATCACATGACCCTGAGGCTGTTCTACCGGCTCTTGATCATTGCTATGTGTCTGGGAGCTGTCGGTGACTGTGTGGTCACAATGCTGTGGGTTTACAATTGCAAACATAATGGCCGATTGTGAAGGGGGGGGGGTAAAACCTTTTGGAGGTCAAGTGGGTAAAATCTGCTTTTATTAAAATATTTTATTGTAAGCCTATAAGGTTCTTGTGTAGACACTTCCTGTTACAGGGTGACAACGCTATGTGCCTTTTTCCCCAAATATGCGTCTGTGTTATCCTATCACATGGGCTTCTGATGGTGACTGCATGTGGCCATTTCAGCACATGGCATGGTCCAATGTTGTCATCGTCCAGAAACCTGCCTTGAGAAATGCCATGAAGACAGGAATTAGCTGCAAAGCTGCAGAAAATCAACAGAACTGAAACGTAACAGAAGAGAGACAGTGGGTTCATGTACACTGCAAACTAAATGTAATCCGGCGAGGTTTCCATCGATGGGGTCACACATGAATTTAAAGTTTTACTAAACCCAGGACCCGGCGTTCACCGTGTCCACTCCCCCCCCCCCCCAGACCCGGCGTTCACCGTGTCCTCTCCCCTCCGGACCCCGCGTTCACCGTGTCCGCTCTCCCATCCCCCCGCACCCAGACCCGGCGTTCACCATGCCCGCTCCCCTCCGGACCCGGCGTTCACCATGTCCGCTCTCCCCCCCAGACCCGGCGTTCACCGTGTACTACACTCCCCCCAGACCCGACGTTCACCGTGTCCACTAACCCCCCCCCCCTTGGACCCGGCATTCACTGTGTCCGCTCCCCCACACCCCCCGGACCCAGCGTTCACTGTGTCCGCTAACCCCCCCCCCCCCCCCCCCCGTACCCAGCGTTCACTGTGTCCACTATACACTCCACCCTGCCCCAGACCCGACATTCACCATGTCCGCCCCCCGGACCCGGCGTTCACCATTTCCGCTCCCCCCCTCCCCCCCATACCCAATGTTCACTATTTCCGCTCTCCTCGGTACACAGAACATTGAAATGCTATTTTTTGTAAAAATAAATTGCCAAATACCTTTACAGCAGTATATAGCTGTCTTGTGACTTCTATCGGTGTCCAGCTGAGCACTGGTTAAAGCTTGTGGGAGGAGTGTTCATTCTGCTTTAGGAGCATGCAGAACCCCTGACCTCTGAACAGTGCTCAGCACATGCACCCTCCCAAGAAAAAAAAAAAAAAAAAAAACCTCTAGCGATACACACCAAACTGAGCATGTGCAGAGTGACTTCACACAATATATCTTAGCAGGAGATAAGAGGGGGCACTGGAAGAAGGGGAGGATCAGAGAAGACAGGATCAAACTGCCCTTTCACACCATGCGGAGGATTAACCCCTTAGGTCCCACAGTGAGTATAACCAGCATGCTTTCCTGCATCTACAGACTGATTGTACTGCTTAGTGACACTTTCCGTCCTGCAGAATTGTGGCTCTGCGCCCCATTGTGAATGAGAACCTGATTCAAACAGAGATACGGATCCAAGTATCCCTGAAGTGATGTAGTCTGAGATCATGTGACCACATGCCAAGGCTTCTAGTCATGTGACAAGCTGGGATGTTACGCTGGTCATATACATGCAGATTTCTCATGTTCCCCCATCCGTGCTGCACAGTGTGGCTGGAGGAACCTCCCCTGCCAGCGATTGTATTCTGACAGTCGGAACCTGCGGGGATTTTTTAGTTTTAATTGATCTGCTTTAAATAGAGGTGATGTGTGGGGCGGCATCTGCGACTGTCTGTGTCCGGTGCTGTCATTGTGGGTTGCTGCACCTCTATTGCATCAGGAAATACACGGCTGCATGTCCTCGATGGAGGTTTCTGTTCCGCTTCGCTGCACGCGGGAATCTCAATGAATTACAGGCGAGGCTGCAAGGTGTGTTGTAAGATGTCGGCTGTCTCCTGTGACCTCGCTCACCCTCAGCCATTGATTTCTTGGTTATCTGGATGTTGCAATGCAGGAAGAGCCTGGAATGGATGGTTCAGATTGTTTCCTCGTTCCCGAGTCCAATGTGAGCGCCCCCACATTGTATATCTGCAGGAAGAGCCTGGAATGGATTGTTCAGATTGTTTCCTTGTTCCTGAGTCCAATGTGAGCGCCCCCACATTGTATATCTGCAGGAAAAGCCTGGAATGGATGGTTCAGATTGTTTCCTCGTTCCCGAGTCCAATGTGAGCGCCCCCACATTGAACAATCCATTCCTCCAGGCTCTTCCTGCAGATATACAATGTGGGGCGCTCACATTGGACTCGGGAACGAGGAAACAATCTGAACCATCCATTCCAGGCTCTTCCTGCAGATATACAATGTGGGGGCGCTCACATTGGACTCAGGAACAAGGAAACAATCTGAACAATCCATTCCTCCAGGCTCTTCCTGCAGATATACAGATTGTTTCCTTGTTCCTGAGTCCAATGTGAGCGCCCCCACATTG